CGTGATATATTCTTGATCAGGATTTACATATATGTCGATGTGGACATGTCCATCTGTCTGTCACATGCTGATTCTAGGATGTTTGGTATTGAAACCCAGATATTTCGGTCCGCGGTTTGTTATAGTCCCCACATAACGGAAACGTCCCATTTATTTCAAAGGGTTTTAAGCAGAACAAAGAATCTGTTCTACTGTATTAAAAAAGGCATTCATCCAGTGTTTTAGACGTTCGATCGATCCGAGGAGCGAATATTGATTCGGACCATTAATACGTATTAATGTAGCATCCAAGGTGTGATCTAACACAACACCGAAAAAAGACAACAGATAGCAGAAGCTTACTCCGCTCAACTTACCCACCTGCTTGACGAAAGCATACCTTGTCCCCATAATAATTTAGAAGCACAATAGCAAAGAATTGACCACTCCCTACAAACTGAAGCAAAAGCAACAATTGGGTACTAATGACCACCATCAAGAAACCCATTGCACGATCAGGAGTATCGTAATTCTACTGATGTGAAAAACGCAGCGTATAGGGCAAGCATGCAGACAGTAGCAACACGTAATACGATGGAGAGTTATCGGAAGAAAATTAGGGGGAAGAAACGTATTTTCAAAAGATATTGAGATGTATAGGAATCAGAATGAAGTCCGAAAATTTTACCAACCTGTAGGGATGAAGAAGGAAACCTTGTGACAGATACAGACAGCGTGTTGAAGATCTGGAAGGAGTATTTTGAAAAACTTCTGGTATCAACTAGTAACGGTGAAGAAGATACCCCAGAACCAATTAGATATGACGGTATAGATTGGATACCACCTTGCCAAGATGTCAGAATAACACTTAATCGACTGAAGAACAATAAAGCATCAGTTGCCGATGGATTTCCAGCCGAACTATTCAAGATCGATGGTCAGATGCTGATCAGGAAGAGAAACGTCACGAATTCGATGGAAAGATCAAGTGGAATACAACATCTCGGAACATGGTCTTTCATATTGGATGAGCTGTGCAAAACAATGACGCGCTCATAAAGCTCAGCTTATGGAAAAAAGTTCTGTTACAAGCCAAATGAATAAGTTTTGACGCCCCATTTTACGCAATCAATATAGGCACATTTTTTGATCCCGCCTTATCTTATTTACAAACATATGGGCTTTTGTATAGCATTTTGGGTTCTTTGTGGATACAAGACTTATTCACAGTTTTTTTTTAAATCCACGTTAGAAGGTATTTTCAAATAGTTATTAAAACATATTTTTAAACATTCAGGAAAATGAGTAGGAAACCATGTAGACTTTGAAAAATATTCTCCTCACTTAGAACCTAGATAGTTCTTCTTAAAAAAATAAGACCTCTCGAAGGTCTTCTACTTATATAATAACTCAAAAGGGTATTCTTTCTATAGAAAATCTCTGAAGAGTCACTTGTGTGAGTTAAGAGTTCTTCCACCTCTAAAAAGTTCCTATTAGACTTCTCTTAGTCTCTAGGAGCTTCCAGTCTTCCTTTTTCTATTTTAGACCTATATAAGATCTGTTGTCTATAGAATAACATCTTTCTATAAGACGAAGCGCAGTAGGTCTTCCAGAAAAATAAGTCGAATATGCATTTTCTAGGAAAATACCAATAGGAAACGAGGAGGTCGTCTCAGAGAAGTGGTTCTTTTTCTACCTTTAAACAAATCTATGGAAATGGTAATCATTTTTTATACAATGTGATTTATTATATTATACATTGCTCAGAAGTATATATGGGTAAACCACAATACGAATAAATAATTTCATTTTAACCACGTGTTCGTCACACTCCTGGCCCCAGTAGCATTCTCATTGAATTAAAAAAAAAAAATTATCATCGACATTGAAATCAATTTAAAAAACAAATAAATGATCGCTCAGTCATTCATTCAGATGCCAATATGTGTCATCAAACCATTGTTTCTTTTATTATTTTTAATAATTAACAAAGCAGTAATTATAAAACGACAAAAAAAATAGATGACAAATTTGAATGAATAAAATATACATACATATATTTTTGGATATTAAAACAAATAAAAAGCGAAACAACACTTTTAAATAAATAAAAAACATATATCAAAACAAATCAAGAAGTGTTAAGTGTTTCTTTTTTCTTGAGTACTCTTCATTGATTAAAAAAATGAAAAAAAAAACAATAACAAAAATATTTGTACTTTTTTTATTCAATTTCATTTGAATGTGTGTTATGTTACGAATTTATTATAATGCCCTAACTTTGTGTAATTTGTTTCCTAAAAAAATTATAAAAATACAATACCAAAACAAAAGAGAAAATAAAAGAAAAAAAATATTCATGAATTCGAAAAAAGAAAAGTATTGAAATAAATACCAAACAAATAATTCAAAATTTAAATGAAAACAAAAAATCGACAACAAACCACAACACCATGAACTAAAAAAGAATCAACTGATCAAAATAAATTAATCATAACCAACCATTGAAATAAGCACACACATTTACATACACATTCATTCATACTATATATACATAAATAAATACATATAAAATATATATTTTTAAACAAATAAAATAAAACTAAAAACAAAAATGAAATACATATTAAATATACTTTTGAAAAGTTTAAAAAATAGATCATGTAGTTTTATTAACAAGCAAATAGCTTGTTATGCGGATAATGTAACACCCTTAGTAACAAACCCCTCCAGTTTAACGGTATTTGTATATACATAATATATCCTTTATAGAAATTGTTTTATCTAATCAGATATTCCTTTATCTGTAAAATTGGTGTATTATAATCACGTTAGTAGTCAAGCCTATTACATTATAACGAATAATTTAGATATATTTTATAAATGTATTGAAAGGATATGGTAAGTACATTCTTGAAATGTTCAAAATAACAAATGTAGATATGGTTTTATGCAACATCTAAATTGTGGCAGAACTACAATTAAATACTGTCGCGGAGGGACTGTCACAAAAAGTATATTCACTTAGAATTTAACATTGACTCTAAAAAAGTTATTACAAAATAGATATGACAGTCTAATAAATAAACAAAATATTTTATTCTTTTTATAAAATTCGTTTGCCGACTCATACACCTTGCGGGACAGGTTTGTATATTATTGATTCAAATAATTAGCAACTTATTTCGGTTTTTGTGTGTTGAGGTAGGTCAGGAATCTCAACTTGTTAGAGTACTTATTAATTCATTCACATGTACGTGTTGATTTCCGTAAGAATCAGTAGAAGGAATGTGGGGGATTTTATTTCAGTATTGTAATCCGATAAAATGCAGATAAATCTTTGCCATTTAAAAATTATACAATGTAATAATGACCAAAAAATGAAAAGTGATTCTGCAATTGGTTACTCCCTTCGAGAGTTATCGTGTGCACCAAGCAACCGGACAGACGGATTGACGGACATTTGTATATCAACACCAAATTGTCTGAAACGGATGTGGACCAAACAAAAGTGAGATTTAGAACCAATATTTCGAAATTTTACCACATTTATTTTCTCCAGTTCCCACATCCTCCTGATTACAACACCCTATTATACTTACTGAAAACAGATATAAATTCCGGGATTTTTCAGTCCGTGCAATTTTCCAGGTGCGATTTTCAATAGATGGCACTATCCGCACGCTGTTGCCAGTCTTGCCCTGAGCACTCTAAATCAAGTTTTCATTAAAGAAAATTGTAATTCAAAGCATACTTTTAGACGCGAGTATGTTATACAGCATTATTCGGCAGGGAGAGATCTCGTTTGTGAAAATTTTTTCGCTTTCACATTCTTGCCTTATTCTGAAAGAATGCGAGATTCGGATTCGAATTTTCGAAAATGGTAGTTGAAAAAAGATTCGTGTTGCCATTCTGTAATTCTCTTCTCAAACTTTAAACGCATTTTTCTCCAAACAGCGTTTTTGCAAATGGCTGGTGTATAGCTATCGTATGAATTAGGATAAATCCAATCGGCCAAGATCATCCTTATTTTTTTAACTTGGTTTGTGGTACAAAATAGGCGACTTTCCAAAAATATTTTTTCTAAGGTCCGCCATTTTGTTAATTTTTGAGCGAAGTCAATAAGGGTTGTTTCCTTAAGTCAAACCAAGCGTATAATTTTTGAACAGAAAATCTTTTCCAAAAATAATGTTGTCATACGAAGAGTACGAAAGAGTTCACTATGACCAGCAAACAATCTTATTACCAAGGGAAACTATAGAAAACTTTAATACTACATTTTATATTCTTAAATTAAAAAAAACTTAACTTATTGTTGGGGCAAAAGTTATACGAAAAGAAAAAAGCGGCATAATTTTTTTTTAATCTAATCATACTACAGATGCCGCTGACGACAAGTGTTTGCCAGTGCTCTTGGTTACTTTTGAATGCGTAATGATACAGAAATAATTCGAATGGATACAAATCAAACGGATATTTTTATCTCATAATTTCTCCTAGATTTGTCACTATGTCACAAAGAGTTATACTCTTTGTAATCTGGACTTAAGCCCATTTTCGTTTACATTTTGAAAGCTGAATGTTGTCAAGGCAAATTTATGAAAAAAAAATGGAAACATATGGTGTCTCATGCACTTTGTATAGTGTATAGTTATGCCATGTTTCATATGCAGCAACATGGAAATTTTTGTCGGCGGGATCTTTGATTCGTTATAACTTTTCAATGTGTTATGATAAATAAATAATTCAAATGGATATTAATAGCTTAGAATCTCCACTATCCTACAGTATATAAGTGGTTTCCCTGAGTTGTCACATTTCCTGAAAATTACTGTTTTCTCGAAAAAACATATGCGCACTTCTTTTAGAGTTGGTCAAGCGTGAGATTTTGAAGTACAACTAAATATGAAATTATAGAAGAGTTTTTTTGACTGTTAAACATCAACTGAAAGAGAAAATTCTACAAAAATCAAAGTTATATTTTTTACAAACTTTTTTTCAACAAAAAAATATTTTTTTAAAATTCAGTGATAACCAATTGGATGAGAGCCATAATTATAGCTGATGGGTTGTTCCTGTTGAGCATTGACATGAGTGCGGGCGGCATAAATTAAGGCGGCCATAAAGGCGGTATTATTCATGATCATGGTGGTGAGAGTGGCCATTTTCAAGACGGGCAGGATGAAAGGTAAAAAGGTCCCCATAAGGATGGCCGGCATCATCTGAAAGTGGGAACATTAAGACAAACCAAAATATATCACATACACATTTAAACCTACCATAACTGGTACCGCCATTTGTAGAATTGTGGTCTTATATGAAGTTTTGTCCTTTTTGATTTTCTTTTTGTGAACTTTATGTTTCGATTTGCCATCTCCCTCCTCATCTTCCAAACTGAGATTGCCGTGACCCTCCAAACTGCTATCCAATAGATTTTGATCTTTTAGAGCGCCCACTAGTAAGGAGGTGTCCTGGGCTCGACCTTCATATTTGTGTTTGTTTTCTAGGAGAAAGTACAAAAACCAATAATTTTGGATAAAATGAAAATGTTTACAAAAAATCTGCACCTACTTTTCTTAAAACTCAATTTCATTTTGTTATCTTTACTTGGTACTACTTTCACCATCAAACCGGGCAAGAATTGCAATTTAATATCACGATTTTTAAAGAATCTTTGTAAACTGACCACTAACTTTTTGTTCAATTCCTTATCGCTAAGTTTGCGAAATTTCTCTGATATCAAACTACCCATTTTCTCCTCTTCGCCAAAGAATTGCTGTAGGAAATCTTTAGTCAGATTTCCTGTATTTGTCCAGTTCTTACGTTCTTCCAATTTTTGTAGAACAAACAATTTCGTACAACGTAAGGTACTGAAATCTCGTAAACATTCATAAATACGCATTGGAATAGAGCTACGAAATTGTTTTACGGTCATTGTGCTGCCGGATGTTGAGGGTGTGCGGAAATAGTTTCTACTTTCGCTGCTGGAGGCGTTAGTGTTGCTTCCGTTTGCGACTTCTTCCACTTCATAAGTGTCGCTGTGGTTTTTGACGATCGTGGATGGTTGTTGTATTGACTGCGGCTGCTGTTTGCTTTCTTCGAATTGGTTTGAGGGCCCGATAAGTATAGCTGCTATAATTGCAGCTATAAGAAAAACAAGTTCCACATAAGTTCCTCGCATTACGATCGAGGTAAATTTCAATTGTTTATTTTGGATTTTTTTTATTCTTTAGAATAATCCTTATTAAATGCAAACTAAGCGATTCTTGCTTTCCGCCTGATTGTTGTGGCGTTCGGCACACTCGGAGTTGCTGATGGCTACTAAACGTAAAACGATTGTGTTGCATCAATTTTTCTCAATTCTGTTTGCAACTGGATTAACTTTCTTTTCTGTGCGAAAGAAACCAAGACTAGTTTCTGTGTTAGATGCTTCGATGCTACCTTGGAATCACTATGAATGCGAACAATGACTTTATTATTAAGTTGGTAATATGACAAATTTAGTTATACCCTACACTAATCGAAATATTTATTTCGATTTGAGGTCAATTAAAAAATTGTATTTTTTGTGGTTTGATTTTCTTTTTCGTTGCTTTTTCCGAGCTTGGGCAACTAACCCGACGCCTCAACCCATATCAGCTCATTATGAAAGTTGCTACCCCAGGTGACACCGCGGGAAGATCAGTGCCCACAATTGAGATGAAAGAGGGACCAACATAAGCTTGGTATTTGCCATTTAAAAGCCAATCAGAACCATGTAAACAGTAGCAACACGCAATGCGAGAGAGAATTATCGAGGGAAAAGGAGAGAGGAGAAACGTATTTTCAAATAAATTACAGGAATATCGTGATCAAAACGAGATATACATGAGTCAGATTGAAGTCCGGAAATTTTACCAATAAGTAAAACACCAAATCGACGGCTTTGGTGCGGGCCCATCCTCCTGAAGGGATGAAGAAGGAAACCTGGTAACAAATACAGCGTGTTTATGATCTGGAAGAAACATTTTCCTTCAGCTGAAGAATAATAAAGCAGCAGTTGATGCAGTCGAACTATTCAATACTGTTGGTCAGACGCTGATCAGGAGCATGCACCTACTGATTGGTTCAATTTGGCCAGAGGAATGGATGTGGAAAATCAACTATAGATCAGATTTTCACACTGCGAAGAATCCTGGAAAATACCCAGGAAAACTTCATCGACACATTCAAACATTTCATCGACTATAAAGCCGCAATCCACCCAGAGGTATTTAAAGACATGTCTTTGTTTGTCATTCCTGCAAAATAAATACGGCTATGCAGAATAAATTTAGCTGGCACAAAGTAAGCAATTCAAGTCGGAAAGGATCTGTCGGAGCACTTGAATACCGAACGAGGATTCAAAGAAGGTGACAGTTTGTGATGTGACCTGTTTAACATCCTGCTGGAAAAGGTCATAAGAGATGCAAATGTGAACAGAAATGACAATATGTGCACCAAACAGCATATGTTACTCACCTACGTCGATGACATCGACATAATGGGTCGAACATTGTGAACGGTAACAGCTTTGAACGAATTGAGAAGGAGTCTGCCAAAGTGGGTCTGGCAGTAAATGTCGAGTAGACCAAGCTGATGGTATCAATGCGCAAGACGCCCCGTAGACTTGGACCAACTCTGGAACATGAGAACTAAAGCTTCGAGGTAGTGAATGATTTTATATACCTCGGTACCCCCATAAGCAAAACTAATGACATCAGCTTTGAAATCCGAAGAAGAGTTGTGTTGGTTAACAGATGCTACTATGATCTAAGTAAGCAACACAAAAGCAAGGCCACCTCTCGCCAGAACAAACTTACACTATACAAGACAAAAAGCATCGGAAGCAGATGAGGAAGCTCTTGAAGTGTTTGAGAGAAAAATTCTCCGAATGATCTATGGGTCGATCTACGACATAGGTCAATAGATCGGCTCATGCTTCATTCGACGGCGATAGTTACCTTCGAATAAACCATTCGACGGCGATAGTTACCGTCGAATGAACCATGCATGGACATCGACGTAGTTAGACGCATCGAGCTGCAGCGACTACGGTGGCTAGGTGATGTTCTGAGAATAAATGAGGATGCCCCAACTCAAAAGGCATATAAAAGCGAGCCAACTGTTGGATTACGTAGAAGGGGAAGGCCACGAATTCGATGGAAGATCAAGTGGAAGATAACATCTCGGACCTGCCAAAGTCTTTCAAATTGGAAATGCTGCGCACAAGACCAACGCGCCTGGAACTTTTTTTAAAATCGGCTTATGGAACAAATGTTCTGTCACAAGCAAGCTATGTAATCAAGTAAGGTCAACGATCAAAACCTTTACTAAGTATACATATGAATCCGGACACGCCCATTGCGTAGCAGGTCTTTGTATGTTATGTATTTTCTTTTTAGTAGTCTATTGACTACTTCCGGGCAGCCAATAAGTTCCCAATATGCCAGTATCGAACTTATTATACTTATGGACACACTGTGTACAATTTTTGTGTTTGAATATACAATGGCGCCCAAACAATTTAAGATATTCCATATTATGGTTTTTGTGTGCAATCTTTTTAACATAGCGTATATTTAAGTCGATCTGGCTTCATATTCGTTTTCTTTTCATATATTACTTGTTTTCCTCCTATCAAGAATTATCAATTAAATTGCATGTGTGTCCGTGTGTATTGAAGTGTGTAGATTGTCTTTCTATTTTCCATTTTCTTCTGAATGATGCCACCGAAAATAGATGTTGTTTGCCTGTTTTTCTTTTAACTGGTTTTCCTTGCTTTTAGATTTTCATTCCTCAATCATGTTGCTGTTTTTTTTTGTGGTAAAATGGAGGCAGATGATCTCAATGCCATACCACCACGACGGACCACATCAGACGACTATGCCGGAGTTACATGGCATTGTGGTTGGCTGTAGCCACAACAACAACAGCAATGGAAGGAGCAAACCAAACAACATTGCTGACCCAGTTACAGTTTTCGGCCAGTGGGCCAAATAAAGATGTCGCGGTCGTCATCGTCGTCCAGTTGTCTGTGAGAGTGAGCGTTTAATGTAACCTGCATCTAAAGTAGCTTCCTAACATCTGGTCTGTACATCTGTAGCAGGTTGATTATTTAAAAAAACAACAACATATGTAGATATTTTCATAGTTATATATGCCTGAGATTGTTCTAGTTTAAATTGGTAATCTTGTTGCTTTATTGTTTTCCCGCCTCAGAATTCTATTCTCCTATTTTGATCGATCGTAATAATATTTTGATTTGTAATTTGATTGATTTTTTTAGTGTTACGATATTGTTGCTGTTATTTCAATCAGAATCAATAAAGTTAATATCGAAAAAATAGCAACAGGTGAACGCGCAAATGATTTGTGATTTGATTCGATATCATAAATCGTTTCGTTAAATCGTTTCAATATTTGTTCTGTGGAAAATTAGTTAGTTGTGTTTTATATTTATGAATGGTATTTAAGGGGAATATTTATGGACATGGGCTTTAGATTTCTAAGTACAAACACAATTCAAACAATATTTTGTATTATCTATTGCGAAATATTAAAATTGTTATTTGTTCATATAGGTTAAGAGAAAGGAAACAAGTTTGGATAAAAGAACAGTGCAATGTATTCTATACATTGAGGACCGTTAGAAGTATATTCAATAATGTCTCATATCTTCAGGAGACAAATAGAACGTTATATGACTAAAGGAAATACGTATAAGGAAACATTTTCGAACGATGTCATGCAACGTGGATAGAGGTGACGGTGAAGGAGGAACGGGTCTTTACGGACGATGGGCGTGGCTATGTTGTTGACAGTGAAGGTCGACTGTACTGTTAGAAGAAGCCATCCGGGGGTGTGTGTGTCCGTTAAATGGGCGGGAGGAAAAATGTTGCTGGCTAGCAAATACAGCCAATTCAGTTCGCGTTGGAGCCATATTTAAGGTATATGGATACGGTACTACTCCTTGAGAGTAGTTGTCCGCTAATCCTAAGTCTAAACGAAATCTCCTCGCTGTGGTTTTCCAAGATGACCAGGTCAACATCTGGTCATCGGAATCGCATCTGGTCAGGAGAATCGCTTATTGAATGGGTGTTAGCGAGGGGCGTCGAGATATTAAATAAGCCCTCGGATCTGTAAACCTTTGATGGTCCTCCGAAGTGGGTGTCATAGACGAGACGGTTGCAAATGGGACAGCTCTAAAGCAGAGGACTTTAGGGTATTGACCATAGATGACCAGGTCAGTAAGTTGTAAATTTTTGATAGACGCCGTCAGGCTAAACCATGTAAGGTCAAATGGTGAACCCGCGAGCTAACCACAATGCGGCAGCAAGTTAGGCTTCTTATAGCAGTGTAAATCCGAATTCCTTGCAGCTCTTAAAACGCACAAAGACGAGCTATATAGTCTTCCAGTTTTTGGAAAAGTGCTGGAGAGAATTATGGTGGCACGTCCTTGTAGCGGCATGTGCAATATAGCCTGAGCGGGTCAAATTTCACATATATTCTTGGTATATATGTGGATTTCATAGGAGCATTTCAATTCCTTTTATGCGATAGCGTGATCACAAAGTTATCAGAAATCGGGTGTAGTTCTTTGGGTTATTTTTGAGGTAGGAAGGGATGTGCAGCATGGTTGCCCACAGGGTTATATTATACATGTGGTCTACGTATATGGAACCTAATGAGCTATAGGTTTTCTACGTCCTATAGAAAAGCTGGAGGTCTTTTTCTTCCTATAGAAGAGGTGGGAGCTATTGAAGGTGATAGTCGTATTGAACTCAAAAATTGTGGTGTGCAATCTATGCAGATTGTGCAGGCCTGGAGTGACCGAGTTGGAGTGGATGTTGCAATTGAGTAGACTTTGCTGATGCTACTGAAAGGTAGGTAGACACAGAATCGTCATTCTCCCTTCATTCGATCTGGGGAACGCGGCATAAGATTCAGACCTTCTGATTTGGAGGAGCGGGATAGGATTTCAGTAAGGTTCATGAAGACGATCGGTCCCTTAGTTGTTTAAGTAGTTTTGTCCGTGAATCGTTTCGAAACAAGAGGTATACTGTTCAGAGATTTACACCCGCAATTCCAATTTCGACCACTTCGGTTTGGAAAACGCCAGGCATTCGGAATGCCTTCCGTAGAAAATATATCCAAAAACCT